CGCGGCCGCGCAGACTGGACCGGCGCGACGAATGCGGGGAGGGCACACTCCTTTTCCTGAAAACTCCCACCAGGACTCGGGCACCCCAGTAGGGGGAAGATCGGGCCAGGTGAGACCAAGGTGTGCAATCTAGGCGCTTCCGGAGGCGCTAGAGCGCTGACCCTAACCCGCGGCTAGTCTTACTGCCTTAATTCAGCTGCATTTTTCTGACCCAGATGTCTCTCAAGCTATCGAGATATTTTGTAGCTTGCTGTTATTGCGAAAAGTAGCCGGGTTCTTGGGTGGTTAAAACAAGGCAGGACTAGCACCTTCAGAATGTAAAAAAAAAAATTTTTTTTCCATTTAATAACATCACTCCGGGGATGTTAGCCTCCACTCTCCACATTGGGGGTATATGTTTGATAATGCCCACATCCAAATTTTCAGTTTTCTAAAACAAAGAACCTGCCAAACACCAAGTGTCAAAACGATCTGGTAAATTCAACCACAAAATAGTAATTTTTACATAACATCATGAGCCAAGCTATTGTTAGCATGCTAACAACTTTAACTCGGTACTTTCAGAGAAAAATGTCCTAATTCTCTCTCGTAAAATGGAGATAGTATACTCTCTCAAATATGTCATTTAGTACAAAGCAGTGCCTGGCACACAGCACTAATATCTTCAAAGTCTAAATGAAAGTTCATTCTGTGTAGGTATATTTAAGACATCCCTACCCACCTTCTTCCACGCTAATAATCTACTGGTGTAGTGCTGTCACACACAGCAAGCACAAGTAATGTACAAGCTGAAATGGTCAAACTTAGAAACCAACAATCCTACTTCAGCTCCTAAATTTTTTAAAAACGTAATGGCTCATCATATAACACTTAAAAAATTATACTTAGGGCTAATTAAATTTAATCTGTTTGACTGTTGACATACAGATTAAGTTTAATTTCAAAGGAAGAAATGTGCCTATTTATTGCTGGATGAGATATTCAAAATAAACAAGTTCCTATTACAATCAAGCAAATTGAAAACACAACTAGTTTGGGATATGACCTTTATTGAGCTTATCCACCAGAGTGGAAATAATGTCTGTACAAAACCAAATGTTTGTTACTATAACTTCTGCATCACAATTAAAAGCTAAACAGTTTTTTAAAAACAGTCAACTCAATCAAAACCCACTACTTCGGAATCAATAGCTTCTTTGAAGCCACAGTAACACTTAAATATGGTTAAGACTCGAATGCAGAAATTTGGTTGGTTGGAAAGCTAATTAAACTTCCAACTTGCTCAAATAGAATTACAAAAAGGCAAAATTGTGTTTTTCACAGAGATACAGTCCACTGGAATCACCAACACTGGACAGCTGCTAAGAGTATTTAGAGTCCTGAGAATATAAGGAATCCAGGCATCCTCTAGACAGTCTTCTGTTGTCCTTTCTTCCCAATCAGAGATTTGTGGATGTGTGGAATGACACCTAGGAGAGTGACAGGGATTAAGTCTACTTTTTAAGATGCATATAAAAAAAAATCACTCAGTACTTGCAACCAAGGCAGGGTCTTTAAAAACATTAAGCTCAAATATCAAGTAGAAATTCACTGGGTTATAGACATGTAATTCAAATTTAAAGACACAACCAGACTGCATCAATGAAAATATATTTAAATGATGTATATTTAAAGACTAAAACTTACTAGAGGACACTAATGCAACAAAGAATTATTTCCTCTACAAGAAATTATTTTCAAAGACTCAGTAGTTACATACCGCCACCAGCAATTGTAGCCTTGATGAGAGAATCCAATTCTTCATCTCCACGAATGGCAAGTTGCAAGTGACGAGGGGTAATACGCTTTACCTTCAAGTCTTTTGAAGCATTTCCTGCCAGTTCAAGTACCTAGAAGGCAGATCCCAATCTCCTTTCAATTTCCTTTTAGTCAAGAACCAAAGAACAGTCTCAGACCTTCACCAATGCAAATCTACCAACCGTCGTCGCCCCCGACTACCTGAAGGACAAGATACACAAAAGCTACACAGAGAGCACGCAATTTTATTTCCAAGACCAGCCAACTCGGGCTCGGGAGGTCCCCGTGCCAGACACCAGCTCCCTCTAGCGTCCTCCAGGGCTTCTCGCCGCGTCCGGAGCCTGGGAGTTTTCTTGCATCACTTTCCTCCTTCCCTAGCCGCCTCTGCCGCCCGCCCCCCCCCCTGCACCTTTCCCAGATCCTAGGCATCCACCCGTTTACCTCTGCGGTGAGGTACTCCAGGATGGCTGCGCTGTACACTGCGGCGGTGGCGCCCACACGTCCATGACTGGTCGTCCTGGATTTCAGGTGTCGATGGATGCGGCCCACTGGGAACTTAATTGTAAGCACAAACAAAAATGCACAAAAAATATGAGCGCCAACGACGGGAAAATCACACGCGCGCCAAAACAAGGGGCACGCACGCCGGTGCGGTAGCGGGCCCCGCATGGGCACACGTGAGACCCCCCCCCGGTATTTATCGTATCGGCAGCCGGAGTCGCGACACTGCATCGCCCACGCCAAGGCCCAGCGCCCACCGCGAGCGACGATTCGCAAGAAAAGGGGCGCGGGGAAAAACGCCACGACTCCCACGCTGCACGGGCAACTCCTGACCTGCAAGCCTGCTCTCTGGGAGCGGGAAACCGCCTTTGTCTTGGCCTTTCCGGAGTCCTTCCCAGCCTTGCCGCCAGCCTGCGGTGCGCACAAGCCCGCGAGCGGAGGAGGAACGGAGAATATAGAATTACCAGGGCGGCG